AAAGAGCGAAGAGCCAGCAGCCCCTCAGCCTGCCTTTGCACCCCCCTCTGCCACAGGATGGGGAACCTTGCCGAAGCACTGATCCCTGCACAGGAATCAGCATCTCCTCCGCAAATCTGCACAGGAATCAGCATCTCCCCCGCAAATGTGAGAGCTGTTTTGACTGTGATGTCTGTATCAGGCAGCACTGCGCCTGGTCCTGCTTTGGGAAATCAAACGGGCTGCTGCCTGTTGATTCAAGCACTGCAAATGCTTGAAAAGCATCTGAGATTTCTTTCCCAGTGGAAGGGCATAGGAGGAAGAAGGAAACTGTGCTAATCCCCCAAAGGATTAGTATTAGGCAACAGCAGGGTACTATCAGGACATCTAAGAGATGATATGATAGACAGGTTCATCCAAAGCACCCTGCAGCCAGTCACTGCTGCTCGCACGAGTGGACTTTCACATCGTCTGAGCTGCATCCTACCACTGGGATTCATGCCCCAGACTTCAGGCTGAAACTTCCTCACCTGGCACTAGCCAGTGCAAAGAAGGGAATCTGACCTGGGTTCCCTGGGTTCTATACGTCCCTGCACCAGAACAGATGCTGTGGGCTGCTCTCTTTACTTTATCTTAACCGTTCCTGCAGCACAGGTAAGGAGAACAGTTGGCGACAACTCCCAGTAAGGACACGCTACGCTCAACCCCCGTGAAATGATGGAAGATTCAACACGAGGGTAACTCCTTCGCTGGTAACTTGCTTTCTATGACTCCGAGGGGCTAAGCCCGAGGGATGGGGAGCCAGGCAGATGCAGGCAAAGCCAGCTGCCATCACTCCACGCCACGTTGCCGGGGTCACCTCTGCTGGGTTGCACCCGCCTCAGACACCTCCAAAGAGGAGATCGCACCCATCTCTGGCATCAGCACTGATCTGCCTCCATCTCTAGCAAGCACTTTCACTGGCAAAACCCTCCCAGCCCGCCCAGCACCCAAGGGGCATTTTGCAATTGGTACATCCAAATGTTTTTCCCTGCTTTAAGACTACTCCAAGCTCAAACAACTTGGTGGCTAAAAAGTAACATAAAATAAAACCACACACAGCTGATGATAGAAGTCAAAGATGCTGCTCACAGTAAGAGCTACAAAAATTTACCCTCTCTTTCGTGCTCCAGGGCAAGGATCTCCCTCCCTGCAGATGACCTGGGCAGAAGAAACTGTATGACTTCTTTTGTCTCAAAATAGGAATGCACTCCATGGGAAGGGAGTGGTTCTCACTGCCTGAGTCACTGAAAGCTACGAGCCAAATTAGAAGTTACCTGTTCTATTCCTCAGATTCATCAGTCCAGACTGACGGAGTGGGATTAGCACTTCTTATCACCATGTAAATAGAGACGGAGAAAAATTAAGCCTGGAAGGAAAAGCAAATCCAGTCAAAACACAGTTGCAGGCAAGACTTAACCTAGAGAGCAGCAATCACTTCAAGCTGAAAAAGTCTACCACTGCAAATGAGAAACACACTCAAGTGTAACTGGTGAAAGCTCAGCAAAGTCTCCAGGAACGGGAGCTGGACCATGTTCTGGGGCTCCTGGCTCTGGGGCACCACTTGCTGCTGCAGAAGCAGCCTAGGAAGGCCAACGGGACCTCTTGTGTCCCAGAAGCCATGTGGCCCAGCAGGGTGGAGGAATGGTCCTGCCAGCTTGGGGATCCTGAGGGTCGATCAGAGTCCTTCCAAAGTATGACAGTTTACCTGGCATGGGCGCTATGAAAACCAGCGAGTATGATCCATACTTCATCTACCCAATCTTGCAACCAAAAACCTCCTTCGAGATGAACGTGAACACCTAGAGTAAGTGCAAGCCACAGCTGCCCACCTGTGGATGGATTCAAGGCCTCCCACTAAGATTTGCTACTGATGGGACACACATGCCTCCTTTTTGTTTGCGATTTAAATGGTTACTAATGAACACCCTGAACTCTTGACTATACCCACACCACAGTGCCCACCTCTCTGAAACCACCGCTGTTGAAATTTGTTTGGCTTCAGATGAGCCTCATTCTCAGGAAGGATACGGATGCAACCAAACTGTCCATGACTGACAGTAGCACCTTCAACAACAGCCAAGTGCTGGGCTTCTAAATTTAACAAGCTTTTAATGCCCTAGAAGTGACCTCCCTGCTTTGAGCCCAGGTTCATGGCTCTTTCTCCCGTTACTGTTAGTTCCAGCATCAGCTCAAGACCCTGCACAAACCTGGCTGCCACCACCCGGCATTACGTATTTGTAACCGTGGTCAACAAGCAAACATAACCCCCACCTTCCTGATCATCTAAAGGACTCTGGGCTACCAGAGAACTGAGGTGCTTATCTTAGCCACTGCTGCTCATCGGTCAGTGCCGTTCTATCAAAATCATACTGTTGTTTCTCCTCTAGAAGAATAACCCATACAGTTTTGCTGGCTCGTAATAGCTTTGGAAGAACGTAGGTAGAAAGAAAATTCTTTTTAAAGCAATGAGTTACATTACAAGAAATGCTTGTGAATACGCAAACAGATCTATCACAATTTTTCAGGAAAGATTTTTTCTATATAGGCTTAAGGATGCAAAAATTCAGCCAAGCAGAAGGTTTTTTTTCCCAAGCTTTGAGCGCAAAGCTTGATGCAGAAACCTTCACGCTGCCTTGCCCATAGGTTGTCTAACAACTGAAGACTCCGGGAAGCCTAACAGGTTTTCTGCTTTCTACGTGCGGTTGCCCTCCCAGCCAGCTTGAACAGCAGTAAGTTGAGGGAAGCTCTTTGGTCACTGAGCTCAGTTTTGGTCACTTCACAGTCCAGTGAAGGCTCACCGAGTCTAAATGGGGAAAGGAAGCCCCAGGTCAGTCCCAGTGGGACATCCCTAGCGAACGTGAGAGATGTCCTCGGTCAACACCAGACTCTGAGGCTCTAACAGAATGAATGGCCATAAAAGAATTCTCGGGCCCAAACACACAGAGGAGCTTTTTGCATGATGCAGCAGGATGGTGAGCTACAAAAAGTCTTAGTGGGAGACACCTAAGGACAAAATATTCTTAACCGGATTAAGCACTTCAGGACTACATTTAGCTAAGTGCTTTTTGTCTTGTTATGAGCCAGCACTAAATATAGTAACCAGAATACTTAAGAATAGTTTCATAAGGGTTGTATATACTCCTCAGCAAGATAAGGCACTTAGCACTACTGACAGCAGTATGTCTGCTTGTTAAGAGTGTTTTAAATAGCTCCAGATGGAATCTCTTTGACCTTAACTGTATTAACCAGGGGGATCAAAATTTATTTATTGCCTCCTGAAAATCCTCTCCTGCAACACTTGCAGAGAAGGCTTCCTGAACTCTGTGGGCAGTAGAAGAGAGAGGACACTTGTCGGTGCTGCTAGCGTCATTTTTTCACCCCACCTACAGCAGGTGAGGATCAGCTTTCTCGCAAAGAAATGCACATCCACTATTGCTTAATGCCCTCTGTAAAGGGAAAAGATTTTTTCTTCCCTTGTACAGAGAGTCTCAAAAAACACTCATAGCATTTCAAGGGCAAGTTACATTTTAGACTTACCAAATGTCACAGTATTTGAAGTTGTTTCCAGGGTTACAGAAAGGATCAAGTAGTATATCAGTCTTAACAAGGCAAATGGGCTTCTCAGACACACAGCTAATAGTCAAAGTGCTATTCCATACTATCTGCAATATTCTGACACATTTTTTACTGACGAGAGAATGGGAGAGGGATTTTTTTTAAAATTCTTTGTTTTGCAGAATCGTCTGACTTCAGGAGCTATCTAAAACTGCCAACTTTTGACTAAAGAAAATGTTCATTTATTGGCTTGCTGCAAATCATCACAATATTAACACAACCTCAGGATAGCTCTTAATGGAACATCACATTAGTAGGAATTATCCATCGAAACCAACAGTTCCTATGAATGCTTCATTATAGCTTTAATTTTAATTATTTGATTATGTCACTGATGGAAAGGCAAAGATCACTCCATGAGTGTTAACGCTGCACATTTCTTTGTGATCAGCAGCAAGTAAAGCTTTCACTGGTCACCTAAAAGGGGGTCCCTGAATCCAGCTAATTTGCTTGTTTTTACCAACTATATCAACAGGTCTATTTAAAAATATTCTATGTATAAAAAAATCGTTGTGCTTGCATTTTATAAAATTTTGCATTTGTGTAATGTACAGCAGTTCAGGTGCCTTCATATCTATACTGTAGGAAACATTTTAATTATGGAAATGTGCTGTGCTAATAATTTCCACAGATTTTACATGCAACAAATTCAGCAGAGAGCCCTCAATTACAACATGCAGCACTTCGCGGCACAATGCAGTCATAAATAAAAGAGTTAATGCATTCTCCAGCAATACGATTCGTATGTCAATATGCCAACGTTTCATTCTTCTTGAGGCAACAGGAGGGCACGGCTGTGGTTGACAGCTGAACAGCTGATTTAATTTTTAAGAGGCAGAATTTAACCTTTTCAGTAAAGTGCTACTGATTCAATCATAAGATGCTAATGTAAAAGACGTTTGAAAAACCAAACAGTGCCGCTGAATCTTTATGGCCGTTTGGCACAAGAAGGGATCACCGCCTCCGTTCACGCGCCGGAGCACCGACGCCC